TTTATCTTGTTTTATCTGTGGTTGTACATCACCCTCTCACTCCCAAGCAGGGGTTGGGCAATAATAATAATAATAATAATAATAATAATAATAATAATAATAATAATAATAATAATAATAATAATAATAATAATAATAATAATAATAATAATAATAATAATAATAATAATAATAATAATAATAATAATAATAATAATAACAACAACAACAACAACAACAACAATAATATAATTAAAATAACAACAACAATAATAATAATAGTTGTTGTTATTACAGTTGTTGTTAATAATAATAACAACTATAATAACAATTATTATTATTATTATTATTATTATTATTATTATTGCAGAGGAGAATATTCTACAAGGCAAATATGCCCCTTCCAAGGGATACCAGTACAAGTCAGTTCTTGTCCATTTGTTTTACATTTTCCATTCATTATATTTTTAATTTATTTTTATTTATTTACTTTATAGTCCACCTTTCTCACAGGGACTCCAGGCGGATTACACAGAGTGGGCCAGCACAATCTCTCCAAAACAGGACCTTCAATAACCAATGCATCAGAAGTCTGGAATAGGGAGGAGCACAAACCGGGGGAAATGCGGTTTGTCTCGGTTCGTGGTCGAACCACAAACCAAACCCAACTGGGAGGTTCGTTCGCGAACTGAGCTGCCCTGAAAACCCCCTTGAAAGGGACCACAGTCCCTTTAATCAGGGCTTATAGAAAGCCCAAAAAACAGCTGGGCCATGAGGAGCAGCCTGCTCTCTTTCACTCAGCTGTTTTGGGCTGTCTTGTGCTGTCCCTTTAAACTTCTGAAAAGGCTGAGCAGCCGTGTTTGCTGCTTTCGTGGGAAACAGAAAGCAGAGGTTTAAATGGACTCCGAATCTCTTTAAACCACTGCTTCCTGCTCTATCCACGAAACAGCCAACAAGCTGCTTTAAAAGTTCGTGGAAGTTCATGACAGTAGACCTGTCACAAACTTCAGTTTACAAACCACGAACAGGGCAAAAATTGTGACCAATTTTGCTTCATGGTTCAGTTTGTGCCCATCCCTAGCCTGGAATGACCAGAAAGAACTGAAGCATAGCTTGAGTATTGACATGACACATTAATTGGTACAGAAATTGCATAAGCAGGATCCTACTTACAATAAGCTAAACACAGCAATATAGTTCACAGTCCTTAATCACTTATCCAAGCAAGTCTGTAAAACTATTTTGTGAAGCGGAACCCTATTACTTGTGTAGAAAGATAAAAAGTTTCCCTTGCACGAAACCCAGTCAAATCCAACTCTAGGGGTGCGGTCCTCATCTCCGTTTCCAAGCCGAAGAGCCAGCGCTGTCCGAAGACTTCTCCGTGGTCATGTGGCCGGCATGACTAGACACCGAGGCGCACAGAATGCTGCTACATTCCCACCAAAGCGGTACCTATTTATCTACTTGCAATTCCTTGCTTGTTAGGTTGGCAGGAGCTGGGTCCAGAGACGGGAGCTCACTCTGTCATGCGGCACTCGGGTCTCAAACTGCTGAATTACCGACCTTCTGGTCTGCAGTTCAGCATTGAATAGTTCAGTTTTGCACAGTTTCTGGAAAGCCAAGAGAGAGGAAGCTTTCCTGACCTCCTCAGGCAGTGCGTCCCACAAGGCAGGAGCCACAAGGGAGAAAGCACGTCTACGGGCAGTTGTCAATCTTGCCCATTTGCATGTTGAATATACAGAAATGTACGAATAAAAGCGGAGTTTGAAAGATACAAACAGAACGCCATAATCCTGACCAGCTGCATAGTTAACTCCAACCTCGTTTGCAAGAATTAAGAATATGTTCACAGCAAGTGTTCAGATAACTGGCTGGAATCTATTTTTGCTGTTTTGCCCCTGAGAGAACAATTTCAAAAAGACAGTGCAGAAAAACCCAACTGAACTGAGCAGAAGCACCCGACTCAAACGAGCGTTGCTTGCGGGAAAGAGAAGAGCCGACGCGAAGAGTCTCGGGTGCCAAACACAGGACACCATCCCGGGCTCACCTCCGGAGAATCCGCTTCCGGCCCCTTCTCCAAGACGCTGGCAGCAAAATCGGGGCTCAGTAAAAGGCCGAAAGAGAGGGATCCAGTGTCTTTGTGCTTCGGAGGTTCAGCGTTGATCGGCCACTGAGGGAAAGATGCAGAGCATAGAGTTAGGATGCCACCCTGGGGAAAAGAAAAGCGCTTGCAGCGTTTTCCTCAGAGCGGACCAGAAATGTGGAATCCTTCCTTCCCTTAGTAGTGTTCTCATAGATGTGAGGCATAATCGTAGCCAGAAACAGGTCTAGCCCCAGAACCTATTCCTAATGCTACCACTCGGCTCTCAAAGAGAAGTTTATTTATCTGCGAGGCTTTTTTTCTAGGAGAAGAAGAAGAGATTGGATGTATAACCAGCCCTTCACTTGGAGTCTCAGAGCGGTTTACAAACCCCTTTCCCTTCCCCTCCCCACAACAGACACCCTGTGAGGTGGGTGGGGCTGAGAGAACTCTGACACAAACTGCTCTTTCAGGAACAGCTGTGCCAGAGCTTGTGACTGACCCAAGGTCACATCAGCAGGTGCAAGTGGAGGAGTGGGGAATCAAACCCGGTTCTCCCAGATTAGAGTCCGCGCACTTCACCACGACACCAAACTGGCTCTCAAACGTGCTGGAGTTCTGGAACCTCTCTGACAACATTCTTTTTAAAATGTTTAAAAGTTAATGAGTTTCTAGAATCCAGACGGAAAACTTTGATTTCCCTCGTGAAATTTCCGGCACCTTCCCCCCCTCCCCCCCTTCTGTTTATTTGTCTTGTTTATAATCTGCCTTTCTCACTGGGAATCAAGACTCATCGTACAGAATAAGTCAGTCAGGTTTGAAAATCCAATTGCTGCCCTAGACAGAGTGTTCTCTCTATACCCTTGCGGCTAATAGCCACCGATAGACCTCTGCTTCCGTAACTCTATCCAGTCCCCTCTTGAAGCTGTCTGGGCTTGTAGCCGCCGCCGCTTCCTGCGGCAGTGAATTCCACGTGTTAATTCCCACGAATTCTCATATTCAGGGTTGCCACTAGAATTTTATTTTTCATTTCCCTGACTTTCCCTGACCAACATTTGTCAATTTCCCTGACCACCATTCAAATATAACCACAAGTTAAAAAATGAATCAATGCTCCCTCTAAGCTGTGGAGTCTTGCGAGCAAAAATTCTACTTCGTGAGCTACTGGCATGAAAGTTGTGAGCGAGCGATTTGGCTACTGCATAACTTAGTTTGCTCCGGAGCCCTCCTTCCTGAGCGAAGACAAGAATGTGTGACCGGAGGCTAAAAAACGGTGAGCTGGCTCACACTAACTCAGCTTAGAGGGGACACTGGGACTCGTATTGCATTCATGCAAGGTAAGGTTCCACTCTACAACTACACAAGTCTCAACTGCAAAAATATTTGTCAGAGAGATTTAATATCAGCTTCTTTCAACATTAACTGCAGAAACGTCTGTTTTGCAACTGCACCAAAAATTGCACCAAAAATTACACCAAGACAAGAATGTGTGAGCTGGAGGCTAAAAAACTGTGAGCTGGCTCACACTAACTCAGCTTAGAGGGGACACTGGGACTCGTATTGCATTCATGCAAGGTAAGGTTCCACTCTACAACTACACAAGTCTCAACTGCAAAAATATTTGTCAGAGAGATTTAATATCAGCTTTTCTTTCAACATTAACTGCAGCAACATCTGTTTTGCAACTGCACCAAAAATTACACCAAGACAAGAATGTGTGCGCCGGAGGCTAAAAAACTGTGAGCTGGCTCACACTAACTCAGCTTAGAGGGGACACTGGGACTCGTTTTGCATTCATGCAAGGTAAGGTTCCACTCTACAACTACACAAGTCTCAACTGCAAAAATATTTGTCAGAGAGATTTAATATCAGCTTTTCTTTCAACATT